TTTTTTTTCTTTTGGAATGAAGAGATTTGGAAGAATCCTTTGAATTTGGCAAAAGATGGAATAATTAATCTCCGGCAGAAAATTAGGACCCGGAAAATTTCTCCTTCACTTTAATTAATCATGCGTTGAATCCGGAAGTTTTTTTTTCTGTTCGCAATTTCAACACGCTTCTTGCCGCGATTTTCCTCATCCGCCTTTTGCAGGAAATGTAGGTGAATGAACTCTTTCTTGAAGCTTATATGATTATTGTCTGTCTGCCGTGATGAGAGATCCAGTATTCATGATTTTTACTTCAAAATCACGCCACAAACAGCATGAAGTATATGTTTTCAATTCTTGGATTGTCCGTAGAACATCTTTATGTTATTGCAAACTTTTCGAAAAGACAACTAAAATATTAGAAGGTGTGAATCTCATTGTGCTGAAGTTACAGAAAGTCCTCATTCCATTCAATTACCAGCATAGCTTTTCTGAGTAAAATATGAAATCCAATTGCCATAGCTAATCTGAGTAAAATATGAAATCCGTCAAACTAACCCTATGAAAGGAATTTGTGTCATCAATTTGTGCTTTGTTTCCTGCTTTGAAGTGATTGAATGTCTTTGAGGGGAATTGGGTTGGGTGGGGAGGGGGTTTGGATGCCAGAGTCTTGTTTGTGCCTTGTGAACGCTGAAAAGCAGCAAATAAAGTGTTCTGTTCATTCATTCATTCATGAAAGGAATTTGAAAAAAAGGCCACACAGCAGTCAAGGATCTTTTTTTTTAATTTTTCTGCCAAAGAAGAAACAACTTTTTTTTCAGACTGTTGCTCTTCTGGTAAAACTTGTTTTTTTTTCATTTTTCATTTCTTGGGGCGCAAAATTGTGCAAATAAATGCCTGCTGCACTGCTGCCCAAGGCGTAAAAGCCTTGATCTGGGCAAATCTCCCACATAAATCAAGGTTTGTATTTCACTCATGGGCATGGTACTTGAGTGATTATGGTATTCTACATTCACCCAGCTGTGGTTTGTTGGATGAATAATGAATAAAGACATCATTGTGCATAAAAATGCAAATTTGGGAAAAATAGCACCTAAAAATCAGGAGTGTATCTTGCTATTTATAGTCATGTTATCTGGAGAATATTTGGTGCTGGAAATTGATCCACTGGTTTGTTGGAGAAGTAATGAATTAAATTTGAAAAAACTGGCAATTTTCCTGCAGCTTCCAGCCACTTTAAAAATGCACTTTTGGATGAGAAAGGCATTTCAACTGAACTGCAACTGCACAGTGAGACCCCCATATGCGGACACATTGACAGGAGGACAACTCACTATAGGGACATTTACTTTCCAATAAAAAGGGCATAAAAAAGGTCCAACATACAGACACTGACTCAACATGAGGAATTGCATAATAAAATTTCCAATAAATTTTAGGAAAATTAACTTGTAAGAGGCTTGATTGCAAGAAACATACATTTCCAACCATAAGATTCATGTAAGAAAATTTCTTTGGTACTTTTCTCATCACTTTCCCACCCATTCAGCTGAATTAAAAATTACCTGTAGAAAAAAAGGGACTTCCTTCTCTTTTTGTGACTTGGACGTTATTTTCACAGATGCCAAGATTTCAATGAACTGTGCACCGGTAAACTATTCAATGCTCCAAATGTTCTTATTGAGTTGAAAATATATTCACTGAATCAAATTCAAGTGGCAAACAATTTTTAAATGGAATTCTGAACAATATTTCTTTCATAAAACACCAATTGAAAATTATATAATGTAAGTCTATATGGGAAAACAAGACTTGACTTAGGGACAGTCGTGATGCACCAATTACATCCACATCTGGGGGTCTCACAGTAATTTCATTAGTTCCAGTGTCCAGTTGAAATGACTCTAAAAATTATAGCAATGTTCTGATGCACATGGCTTTCATATTTCTGAAACTGTATCTCATATCAAGCACTTACCTTGCTGTTGGTATTCAGGATGACGAGCCCCACCAAACATGCGCTTGTTATTGTTGCCATTATTATGTTTTCTCGTCAAGGGTCTCCCGGGTTCAGAAGAGTCTTCCTCATCCTCCAAGGACCCGGAACCAGCACCCTTACCGAAAATTGACTGAGAACCCTGACTGCTGACAGGGGCTTCACTGCTGACTTCTTGCTGCCAACTGCCTTCATCATTATTTGGCCTTTGCTGGTTCTTGATGCCTGGCGATTTTCCTTGGGTTTTCTTGTGATGCCTGACCACTGCGGATGGCCCATTGTACCCGGGTTTCAAAACTGGGTAGAACATGGTCTCAGTTTCCAGGCTGCTGCTGCCAGAGTCCTTGCCAAAGGCTGATGCTGGACTGTTGTTGTTTTGGTTGTTGTTGTTTAGCAACAACATTGCAGCACGAGCATCAGATAAGGTGAATTTGGCTTGCTGCTTTTGTTGTGATGGATGAGACGTGCTGGTGGGAGGTGAGCGGTCTTCTTCGCTGCTGGTCATTATTGGCAACCCTGCCGGGCGTGGGATTGGACGGAATGGGGTCTGGTTGGGTTGGAACCCGATCGGGTAAGACGATGCCTCCAGGGAATTGGGTCGGTTTTGGGGAACCTGTTGGCGTTTATTGTTGTTGGCGTTTCCAGGCTGCAAGCATATATTTCACACAAACATATACACATAAATATTCAGAGGGGAAAATTAATTGGGTGTCAGTTGGACTGACAGGAAAATTTCATCAGATATTGAATTGGGAATAAGGGACTCTATAGAGCAGACACAGAATAGGAGCAAAATATTACTATGATGATAATTTGTGAGAAAGAAGATATTCCTATAAATCTATATTTGAAGGATATTTTGTGTGTTCAATGCCAGGGCTGGTAATTGTGGCACAATTCTGTCCCATTGCAAGCAAAATAACAGCTGCACTCCTTGCAATTTTTATATTTCAACTACAATTCCTGACCTGAAATTTTAAATTCCAATTGGGCAATAGTATTATTCATATCTTGGGAATTTGCTTGCAATTAAACTAATAAATTGCAATCCTGATTCTTTCTTTAATTTTTTGGGGTTCAGGATAACAGTTTTTGGGATGAAAAATTACATTGATGCATGATTTTTATGCCATTTAAAAAGTTATTGATACCTACTAAGTTTTGGATGGGAGCATAGTTCTCCACTCTTCCCATAGATGGGGGTGCTGGTATAGCAGCAATCATCTCCCATCCAAAAATTCCTTGGGAATGATGAAAAAAAAACTCCAGGGTTGTTGCTTCTATGTAAATATCAAGCTCAATTAAAAGTGCAATAAAATCATAATCCTTGCAAAATTGATTGGACCATAATTCAGCATGTTGGAGGGATTTCAATTTTGATTTTGGGAACAATTCCTCGACAAACAACCATTGCAATGGGTGAATCAAATTTTCCATTGCAAATAACGACCCTGTTCACTATTTTATTTGCAAGAATTCCTGAAATAATTTCAGGTTTATTATGAATATGAAGAATATCTCAGGCATGAAATCAGGAATTTAAATAATGTTTTTGCATGAATGGAACTACAGTAATTCTGTCACTGGAGCTTTGAATTTGCTGGCATTCCTTTTTTTTTTTTTTTACCTGAAAAAGGCAAACATGGATCCATTTCATACCTCTCTGATGTTCTGCATGTAAAATATTTTGAAGTGGAACTGAAACTGTGAAGAAATTCTTGCATTTTTAAAATTTGAAATCATACCTATAATTTCTGACCATGCCCCAGGCTGATGGTTCTGTTTTCTTCAACTCTGAAACTTCAAGTTTTTCTTTTTTTTTTTTAAATCCTCATTTCAAGACTTTCTGTTTGTGGCTGTGGAGACTCATTCAAATACAACATTTCTGAAATTCCAAAAGGCTTTATTGGAATGGGCAAAAAAAGTTTCACAAGCATTTTCTATATCTTGAAAAAAAATATCAAGGAAAAAAATATGGCTTGCCTTATTGTACGAGTTATACTGTGGCTCCAGGAATTCTTGCACATCCGGCACATCCGTCTCTTGCTTTGGCACAAATTCGTCATAAAAGTCGTCTGGAAAGTCAATCTCGTCTCTACCTGGCCCAGGTTGGATCAGACCCTGCGAAAACAGCGCTGGTGTCCTGGCCTGCGCCTGCAAGGAATACGACCGGCGTCCGTGCAAGGCCTCAACATCCGCGTCAAGCGTAGATGTCGCTGCTGCTCTGCTCTCCACTTTCTGCTGCGGTGACATCTGGTGTTTCTGTTGTTGTTGTTGTTGTTGGTTGTGGTGGTGTTGTCTGTGCTGCTTTTGCTGTTGTTGGGGGGATGCTGATGGAGCATTACGTTGATTTGCTCTGTCTTCTGTTATTTGCTGATGTGGACGTTTCCGCGAGTTTTTACCCGCAGAATGCTTTTGTTGTTGCTGTTGTTGCTGAGTTGAGGAATGGGTTTCCGAAGAGGAATGACTGACGCGACTGGAACTCTTTTCCGAGGGTTCCCTAATGCACTCCGGACGAACCGGGTGATCACACTTCTGTGCTTCCTGCAAAAATAAATGGGACCAGGGTTAAAACATAAAATTAATTTCGCAGATTTTCTGCACATATTAAAGACTTCTCCTATCACAAATTCTGGCAAACTGAGAGATGAAATAATGAATTCATAGAAAAAAATCTAGAGGAGAATCAATTTCTAGAGGAAAACAATTTCTAGAGGAAAATAAATTTCTAGAGGAGAATCAATTTTTAGAGGAAAATAAATTCCTAGAGGAGAATCAATTTCTAGATCAGGAAAATGAATTTCTGGAGGAAACATTTTTGGATAAGCTCTTGCTGTATATATACTATAATGATTTTATTGAACAGGAAAAAGATCTTTATTGTGTTCATGTTTTTGAAAAAAAAGTCAATATCTGTCCTATTTTTCTGATTGATTATTCCAAAAGCTGATTTTGAGCTCCAGAGAGTAAAAAAGTATGGTACAGCCAACCCCAACACAGCAGACCTCCCGCACAACAGATTTTTGCAGAACAGACCACCTCTGGAGGTGATTTTTCCTCTTCGACAAAAAATCGTTTCCTATTATGATGCACAAAGCGACGGAAAACTGTTACGCATTGACAATGAGTAGAGGAATGATTTTTCCAGGTATCAACTTTTTTTAATGAAACATTCTTCATGTACTGAATTTGTTTTTAAAGCACACAAGAAGCGTTTGTTATGTATTGGCAAAACGTGAAAGAGTTCCTCCCACGTGCTGAAAGGCAGCAGAATTTCTCGCGATTTTCGGTTATTTTCAGCATGAGATACAAATTGAGTCACTTTATTAGTACCCGGTATGACCTAAATTTCGGCTTACCCTAAAACCTGAACAGTGTATTTCCCTTCATCAATCGTTTCACACAAGCATTGTTGCCCAATCCAGAAAAAAACTCCATTAAACTTAATTTCTTTCTTGTCTTCGCCAAAGGAATTTTCTGGGTGACAACTGCCAAGAAAACCTGCCTCACTTGGGAAGTTGGGAAGAATAATTGCTTCCGAGCGCGGTATTATAGGATACGAAACACTTCATTTCATTGTTAAATTTCAGCTGGCGGAGGAGTTAAGTTATTATATTCATGTCTGAGACGGGAATAAATCATATGAACCGAAAGGAGTTCGACCTAAATTCAACGCTATAAAAATCGCGTGATGAACGGGTTTTATCTGCAAAATTCTGTTATTTTTATGAGAATGCATACGGTACTTCTGATGATCATAGGTTTTGAAAAATATCGTCCAATTTCATTCCCACAATGTATGCTTATTTTTTCAACGCAGTGATCATTATATCTGCCTCTTGTACTTATGTGGGGCATTTTAATGGGCTTAAAAAATGTAAATGCGCCATTTGAGACTCACAAAAATTCTTCAGCCTGATTTTCAAAATGAAAGTGAGAATTATTATGAAATTATTTTATATGAAATAGTTATGTGAAATGAAAAACAGTGAAATGAATAACAAATTTAAAAAGTGAAAGTTGAGAAAAAGATACCTTAGAAAGAAAATGTGAGAGGACTATATTTGTATTACGGTTTGTGCGTTTGCATAAGTACTGTATATTTATATAATACTTGGATAAATATCTGTACAGCAGTGGAGTATCTGTGGGGTCGCGTCCATGCGGCGTGACCCGAGCACAGCATCCTTGCTTGGGCACGCTGCGCAGCAATGGCAGCACAGGGACCCGGAAGCGGATAGGCACCCAGTTTGCCGCATTGCGGTAAACCGGGTCAGTAACTAACTGATACGGATCTCGGGCAACAAATCCTGGACGAAGTCTTCAAAGACTTTGGTACTCTTGCTGGAGGATTGCCTGACAGTGGTTGCGTAGAAGCTGAGCTTGCTTGTCTGATCTGTTGTATGCTTAAAGTCCTTATTGTTCTTCTGTGGTTACCCTGTGCCTGCATTAAAGTTGTGCTGCGTTAAGGGACTCTCTTAAAGAGGATCCGGCCTCTAAAGGCTGTTTGCTGTGTCCAATTCTTTACTCTTTTCTTTGTCGCATAATTGGCCCAACAGTATCATATATGAAGAAAGATACAATTTGATTCCAATCAAGTGCTAATTTGACAGAAACCCGATATGAATTGACTCAAAACCAAAAAAGGAAGTGTCAGGTTTGCGCGCAAGCATTTAAATTAGGTTGAATGAATTGAAATTTTAAAAAAATCAAGTGAAAAACTGGCTTGGAATTTTGTTAAATCCATTCAAGAAGCTAGAGTGTAAGACTGGAAGAAAAGTTTGAAAAGCTGCATACAATCTAAATCCAGAGATCCCGAAAATATAAAATATGAAAGAGGTCAAAATGTGCTTTTCTGCATCTGAAGTGCTTGTAATGCTCTAATTTCCATTTGTCAGATAAAAATGGCGAATGTTAATCCAAAATACTGTACATAAAATATTAAATTAAAATTTAATTCAGGTTCAATTCAAGTCACGTACAATCTACCTTAGGAGGAGTTTCATTTAAAAAAATACTGTATTATGAGATATTCTTGGAATTTTCAATTGTTAGTGCAACCCAGTCAGGTTTTCATCCAAATTTTTAGCAACAACAAAAATCCAGTTATTGAGCCACATACTTGAGGGCATGTGGTACTGGAGTATTTTGTTTTTGAATCAAACAAACTAACCATTTCTAGTTTCTGAAATGCAATTTATGGCCTCTTCAGTTATTAAAGATTTTTTCTTTTTACTTTTGGGGGTTGGAACAAAACCTTAAATCTTATGGAAGCTTCCAAGGGCAAGTTTATATAGCAGGCAGAACAAATTCAAGTCTGCCACTCTCTTTGGGAGCTTAACATAAAATTTTCAACTGTTCAGCATGACATGATCAATTGCCTACTTTGTCACAAATTCATGTCTAAATTTGAAACATATGTGGTACTTGAGTACCCACAGAAGCATTATTGCCTTATTGTCACAACAACAAATTAATTCGACACCTGGGAATCAATCATGTCAACACCTGCTTCCTTTGCTTCAAAAATTGCCCCTGTCAAACACAATCTGATCCAAAAACAAATTATTCTTCTCCTGGAGCTGACCAAAAAAAAACAAAACAACATCAAGCAGCTTTCAACAGATGATCACATGAGCCAAAAATAAAAAAAGGAAGCAAGCAAGAATCAAAGAGCAAATAAATATCCAAACATTATAAGCAGTGCTGAAAGGAAACCCAGCGTTTCCTAGTCATCTATAGCCTGACGGAAAATAGTTGCTATTTTCTGTCACTTTGCTTGTGTGAATTGGGAATTATTTGCAATTCATGTGATATAAACTTATTCTTGTCTTATTTTGGGATTCTATACTGAGAAATGCCTTGTTCCTGGGCGGATTGTTTGTTCTCATTTATTTATTGCTTCAATATTCATTCTTTGTGGGCCTTTACCCTACACCCAGGCCCATCAGAAAAAAAGAAAGAAAAAGAATCAAAATTCCATTGATACAAAGATTTTAAAGATGCATCCATAAAATTCATTATAATTATCATGATAATCATAACGCTGTTATAGGGAATAATAATGGGAAAATGAAATACGGGAAAAAAGAACCTGATCGAAGCTGGTGCCTTCGGGACACTTGAACGTCTGCTTCCTTCCGTGACCGTTGCACACGTGGTAAACCCGGCAATGGTGTTTGGGGTCAGCGTAATGCCCCGCGGGCAAGTCCGCGCAGGAGAACTTATTGCCGCCGCCGCCGCCGTTGGTGCCGCCACTGCTCTTGATCTTCGCACTAGTGCCGCCAATCATGCCTGATGCCTCCAGGCTGTTGTTGATGCTGCTGCTGCTGCTGGTGTTTGCCTTGGGGGATCGTCGCTGGTGCTGCTGATTATTCTGGCTCGGGTAGCCACTGTGTCTTCGGTTCTGTACAAAAATTGAAAAAAAAAAATCGTGAACATTTTCGAACAAAATTTCTGTAAAGGTACGCGCAGCTAGTATATTCATCATCATGGGTAAACGTACAGTACAGTAGTTGATTTTCAACAAACCGTACTTGTGAAAAACCACTTTATAATCAATAATATTCTTCTTGTCAGAAAAGTCCATTATGCGAGAGGCTTTCGTTAGTCTTGGGACTCTTGGATGCAGCATTGATGTAAAAAAAAAAAAACCTGACTAGGGAAATGCAGGAAATACCAGATTCAACCTTTGAAATTCAGTACGCAAATGTAATTTTTTATTGGCTGCAAACACTGATACAAACTTACTTGAATTGAAAAAAGGGAACATCAATAATACAGTGAGACCCCCCACATGCAAACGCCTTGACCTGTATACAATTTGACCTAGGGACACTTATTTTACCATAAAATTTTAAAAAATGTCTGACATGAGGACATGGACTGGATATAGGACATTTTGTGATGAAATTGCAAATAAGTTTCAGGCCAAATTGGAAGAAAATTATATTTCCAAGCCTAGAATTGAAGTAAGAAAAGTTCTTGGGCATTTCTCTCACCAATTTCACATCCATTTACCTATTTCAAAAAATTACCTCCAGCATACAGACAAGGGTCTTCCATCTTTTTTTTTTTGCTTGAAAATTATTTTTAGAGAGAATGCCAACATTTATATATACTGTACAGAGAGGTATTTGTATTCAATTCCACGAATGTCCATATTGTGTTGAAATAAATTGATTGAATCAGTTTAAATTGGGAGAAAATTTTTATTTTCATGGAATTGTGGTTTGTATTTTGTCCATAAAACACCAATTAAATTATATGATGTAAGTCTAAGGGAAAATGAGACTCAACTGTGTGACATATTTAAACTTAGGGACACTCTTGATGCACCAATTATGTCCACATCTTGGGGTCTCACATACTGTATAAACCTTTAAATTCCTGGAAAACAAATTTGGATCATTTCAACAAAGATCAAGGGCAGAATTTGAAGTGAAAGTTGAAGAAATGCTTGAACCAAAAGTCAGCAGCTCAATATGTACAAAATGTTGAAAATAAGAGAACCTCAAAGTATTATAGATTAAGAAAAAACCGCGACCAGAAACTTCATTGAAATTTGAACACAAACACAAAAAGATCATTTGAACAAACATATATATGAGTGCACAGGAACTGGATCCTTGAAAAAAATTGAATAAAAAAACTATACAAAAATTTGTCCCAGGTCAAAACTCAAAAGAGGACTCAAAGAAAAGATTCAAGTCATCAATTCACTTTTTTCATGGAAGTTTGATATTTTACAAATTTCGAATCATGATTTTATCTTAATTGCTTGAATGAATGAACAGAAAACTTTATTTGCCGCTTTTCAGCATTCACAAGGCATAACCAGAACTCCCACATCCAAACCCCCTCCCCACCAAACCCAACTCCCCCAAATACATTCAATCATTTCAAAGCATGAAACAAAGCACAAATGAATGACAAAAATAAAAGAGAATTTTGATAAACTTGCAAAAACATTTCTCTAAGGAGGAGGTTGAGGTTTCAACTAGTGGAGGTTTGAAGTAGGGAGGCTTTGAGTTAGGTAAACAAGCAATTTTGTTGAGAGAAAGATATAAATTTCCAGGAAATTTAAATTTTTAATATTCTGGGCCTTGAATTGATTCTTGAATGAGTTGACAGGATGCAGAACTTGGAGGCAGGAGTTCATTTGCAAAATGAGTCTTTCACTTCCTTTAGAAACACATTGAGTAACATTTTTATTGCTTTTTGCTTTCCTGCGTGAATAGAATAAATAAAATAATTATAGTAGATTAAAAATTAATCTAAAAAACCACGTTTTTCAAGTAAGACTAAAAAGCACTAAAAATTTAGTAGATT